GGGGTCCCTGTCAGTCTCTCTCCACACACACGGACACACATGTCCCCACAGGGACACGGCAGAGCTTCGCAGGGCACCCCAAGCCAGTGCAGCAGTGGTGCCAGCAACATGTGTGTGTGTTTGCACACACATGTGTGTTCGCACATGTGCACATGTGTGTAAAAAGCAGCAGAGGACAACGTAGTGATGTGAGCCGTGTGCACAGCAGCAGACGTGTGCGTACTGGGGACATGCAATAACATGTATGCACACCCGGCGGTACATTGCAGCACCCAGTGACACATGGGCTTGCACAGTATCACATGCACCTGGCAACACGCGGAGACATGCAATAAAACACCTGCACACGCTGTAACATACTGCTACGCAGCCTGACGTGTGTACACGCACAGCAGCACACGGCACCCTGCACAGCCCCGTAGCACACCTGGCTGTGCCATCACACGCATGTCCTCGCTGGAACATGCTACAACACGTCTGCAAATGTCTGAAAATATGTTTGCCCCTGCCGGGGCGCCCCGCAGCACACCGTCACACACCTGCACCCGCTGCCACGCGCTGGTCCTGGGCGCTGGCTCCGCTCCGACGTTCGGTCACGGTGCCTTCGCAGCAGGACCCCTGAGGGACCCAGGCGTCCGGACTGCCCCCACCCCGCAGGGTGCACAGCATGCATGTGTGTCCTCGTGCAAGTGTGTGCACGCTCACACGTATGCGCATACCTGCTCGCACACACTTGCCTGCCCCCGCGCTCACATGCACGCAGGCTCGCAGGCAGGATCCCCGAGGCGTCTGCATGTACATGCAGCCTCATCGGTGTTTGCACAGCTACGCAAGCAGTCTTGCACGCACAACCACATGCATGTGCTGGCTTACACACTCACCCACGCATGGATGCACATCCTCACACGCACATACACGCTTGCACAAACACACGGCCTCTCCCACAAATGCGCACACTTACATACGGTCTCCCGTGCTGGCATGCACACATACCTGGTGTGGCATGCTTGCACAGGCTTGCATACATGCCTGCATGCTCCTCAACACCTGCATGCACACACGCCTGCTCACACACGCTTGCACACATGCAGGCATGCTCCCACATGCTTGCATGTACACATGCCTCCTTGCACATGCTCCAACATGCTTGCACACAAGCATGCCCACTCCACATGCTTGCAGAAAAACATATCCACTCCCACACGCTTGCACATATACATGCCTGCTCGCACATGCTTGCACACATGCATGCAGGCTCCCACATGCTTGCATGTACATATGTCTGTTCCCACTAACTCTCACACACTTGCACAAACACATACCTGCTCCCACACGCTTGCACAAGCACAGACCTGCTCACTCGAGCACAAACCCACTTGCACGAGCACATACCTGCTTGTACACACTTGCACAAGCACAGACCTGCTCACTCGAGCACAAACCCACTTGCACGAGCACATGCCTGCTTGCACACGCTTGCACGAGCACAAACCCACTTGCACGAGCACAGTCGCTCGCACGCACTGGCACACACCACACCCGCACGAAACCCCGCGGCCCCGCGCACGGC